ACTAGTACTTTCATTTATATCTGGTTTAGTGACTAGTAAGCTGTGAAAAAAAAAGCAACGGTAAAATTATCCCCGTACTCTTTCGAGCTGCGCATATAGTCACTAATGCTTGCACAGGTAGACTGTATACATTATACGCCTCCTTGACGTACAGTCTATCTCAAAACTTACGTGAATACAGAATATTTTACACACATGTGAGGTACGACCATTCCCGAATCCTACGTAAATATAAAATATTTTATGCACTGAGGTGACCTTTTTGACTAGTAAGATGTGTTAGAAAGGCAAATTGGTATTTACTTATTTATCTGTTTTAGTTTTTCTTTGGTCCTTTGGGTATATTGAATGACCAATTGCCTCTTCTCCATCTTTTTCTAATATGGAAAAAGAAGACAGGTTAGAATTCTCAAGACCTTCAGTAAAACTCTTTTTCTTTTATAAATATTTTAAAATTTACTTGTAAATGGCAGCCTGGTGCACTAAGCTTCTGCTATGTACGGAGTCCGTGAAAGAGTCGGACCACAAGGGTCTATTGTACGTAGTCTTATTCTGCATTTCTGCAAGAGGTTGTTTCGAACCCGTGACCTCCTGGTCACATGGCAACAACTTTATCAGTTATGTCAAGACTCTCATTGATATTAAAACCTATAGTATTTAAATGAGTAAACATTATCGGTGAAAATGTATATAGTTGACCCTAAACCAAACGTGGAATAACTCATCTCAAATTTAATCCTGAAATTAATTATTCCTTATCCATCGTACCAAACTACCCCTGTAAATTCTAATAATAAAATAAAATCCGACACAATTTAAAGGACAACTCTGCAAAATATTAGTCCAAGAATGTAAATAGTTTCACAAACCACAAGCGGTTTTTTTACATCCATGTACCTTTCACAGTTGTTTTCACCAAAACCACTTTTATGCTTTGATAGGTGGGACCCTTTTCGTTAATGATCGCTTATTCACTTTTTACTTTTTCTGTCAATTTGTGGAGCTACTTTATTTCGTAGGCGTTTGGAGTTTGGACATAAGAATTGTAAAATTCCAAAAAACGGTGAAATTTTTTTTCTAAGTGAAAATGGTATTTAAAATATAGTAAGTGTTTGGACATAAGAATTGTAAAATTCGAAAAAATAGAAAGAAAAAAAAATTCAAGTGAAAATGGTATTTGAAATTTAGAGTTGTGTTTGGACATAAATTTCAGTTTGGGTTGTTTTTCAAGTTTTGTGAGTGAAAATTTTGAAAAACAGCTTTTTGCAGTTTTTCAAATTTTCGAAAATTTTTAAAATGCATCTTAAGTGAAAGTTGGAAATTTTATGAACAAACACGGATTTCGAAAAAAAGTGAATCTTTTTTGGAAAATCTTCCATCAAATTTTTTGTCCAAACGGGCACATAGAGTTGTGTTTGGACATAAATTTCAGTTTGTGTTGTTTTTGAAGTTTTGTGAGTGATTTGAGTCAAAATTTTGAAAAATAGCTTTTTGGAGTTTTTCAAATTTTCGAAAATTTCCAAAATACATCTTCAAGTGAAAATTGAAAATTTTATGAATGAATGCTGATTTCAAAAAAAAATGAATTTTTTTTGGAAAAAAGGTAAAAAAAATTATGTCCAAACGGGCAAGAATCATTTGTGCTTACCAATTGACCTTTTTCTATTTTATTTGTTAGTGTGTTTATAATAATGGCAATTTTCTATTATTTGCATAGGAAAAGAAAAGTTAATTTGAACAAAAGGTGGAGAGGAGATGCACGTGTACGTGTGAGGATAATATTATTATGTTTATGTATTTCTCGAATTTTCACCGGTTCCTATTCTCTTTGACTCCATCATCCTTAAACCAATTACATCTTACATGACGCGTACCACTAAAAAAAAAATATAGCTACGAATAAATTCTATAAATAAATGAAACATCATCATTAATTCTATTTAGCGACATATTAGAGACGATTTATTAAAAAAATATTAGCTACGAGCGATTTAACAACTGATTAGCGATAAAGATCATAACTAATTCCAATTTTATATAGTGAGCAATTTACTTCGCCCCAACTTGTATTTCTACCAGATATTTGATATCCATTTTTGGATTTTTTTTTTCTACCCGTATTTGATATTTATTTTTGGATTTCGATTAATTTCAATTTACATTGTAGAGTCCGTTAAAAGAAAAACTCATTTGTACCAAAAGAATATCTATTCTTCTTTCATTTTCTCAAGTAGAAAAACGGTTCTAGTCGTCGCATAACATGTTTTTGTGTTATCTGATCCAAGAAATTCTAGTAGGGTTTTGAACTATTACTTTGTTTCACTTCTTCCATTTTATTATTTATTAAATACAAGCATATCTGATCCACCAACAATCAAGACAAGACAAAATATAATGGGAATTGAATTAAATCCCTCTTCCTTCTTTAGTTCTTTAAAGTAAGGGTTCTTCATCATTAAGACCCAGTTTGGATTAACTGATTTGAAGTAGCTGATAAGTATTAGGTGTTGAAAAACACTTTTAAGAGTTGAAATTGATTTTATAAATAAGCAGTTACGTATTTAGGTACAAGTGCTGAAATTGATAATGAATTGCTGCAATATTTGATTAAAAAATTCTGATAAGCTCTTTTTATGTTAAAATGACTTAAATAACCTTAGAACTGTTTACACTTATAAGGGCATAATTTCTTTAATATTTTAGAATCCATATCGTTTCAAATAAAATATATTCTATTTTTTATTTTATTTTAAATACAATTGTGCTTAGATAAGATAATTTTTATGATAAATATAATTTATTTTATGATAAGCAAATAATCATAAGTTATAATAATTAATAAATTGATAATAGTTTCTCAGTAAAAAATAAACCTAAATAAGATAAAATATTTGAGGCAGTGAGTATCTATGTAGGAGTTTTGTTCTAAAAAGGAATATTTTAAGGATAAAATAGTAAAAAAATTTATCAAACTTAAGGTGCTTATAAGCTAAAAATTCATAAGTTGGGGGTGACCAACTTATGGCTTTTGGCTTATTTTTTTTACTTATAAGCACTAACTTTACAAAACGCGTAGATAAGCCGAAAAGTACTTATAAGCTAGTTTGACCGGCTTATAAGCTTAGACAAAGAACCTCTAAATACGTTTTCTTTTTTTTTTCAACTGAAAACAAGATTAAATATGAGAACTAAGTAGAGAAAAATATGTAATCTAAAATATCTTTTAGGAAAGTTGTTACTGTCTTTGTTCCCTTTTAGTTGTCAGATTTACTAAATGTAGTCGTTCACAAATAATATTTGTCATTTTTAGAAAATTTGTATACGGTCGAAACCGAGCTCATTTATTGCATGACAGATTGGGGTGAAATGTGATGGGTTAAAGATCAACTCCGGATTATATCGAACCAAGGCATGAACTTAGAGCATGCATCTTCAAGATCATCGAGCCCGTAGCTCCGGAACCGACCCCGACTCCGATTGAGCTCAAAAAAATATTGTCGGACCAAATAACAGAAGGCCGAAATATCTGTAACTGGTCGGATATCATGGCGGAAATCTCGGCACGTATCAACGAGAGACCGACTAATTAGCAAATCATGAGATTTCTTACCTTTTGTGGAATTGTATCTAAAGTACGACTCCCCTACTATATAAAGGGGGTCTGATTATTTGTAATACGCATCCAAAGGCAGTACATTATTATTTCTAGTTCTTATTATTTTGCTACTCTGTTCTGACATCGATTGAGGCAATTTCTGGCTCGAGGGTGACCAACCTTCAAGGCTAACACTGTTCAATTTGTGTGGTTTGCATTCATTTTTCTGTCATTGATTTTAATATTAATCTGTTTTCTTTTTTGTGTCAAATCATATCACGTATCCTTAAAATCGCGTATAAATTCAATTGTTATCCGATTTTGAGGGTAAACAGTTTGGCGCTCACCGTGGGGCTAAGGACAATAGTGGTTATTTGATACGAATTTCCATAACACACACTAATTTTTACTTATTCTTTTAAGTATCTTTGATTTCAGGCTTAAGCTCAAAATGTCAAACTCACAATTAGCACTTCTACCTACTGACGGTGAGTCTGGTCACCACGGTGAAAATAATAACATAGCGCCCAGTAAAGAGGTACCGCCCGTTGATCCAGTCGGAATTCCAATTGCAGACGCCTTAGACGCTAATTCGCATGTGGCTATCGACACTAGCCTCCCTACTGACCCCAAGAATAGCCTCTGTGGTAGAGTCCGGTTAACGGCGCTGAATACTCAAAACAATGAAGGAGACGGGGTCAATCTACAGATGATCTTCAAAATGTTGCAGGCTCAACAGGCGACAATAGCTCAGCTACAAAACCAGAGCCGCCTACTGAGCAGGATCGAGCCCGATCCGACTCGTGAGATCACTCGCAGGAAGGACCCTGTCGCGGAAAGGTCGAATGGGAGCGAGTCGGGTAACAGCCTCAAAATCATAAAGATGCTCGAAGCTGACAAAACGAATAGAATCAGGGGAAAAGAAAATCGAAACAAACGAAAAAAGGTGGAAACCTACAATTCTAGGGTCGACCAGATCCCGGGAGCGCCTCCGATATTGAAAGGCTTGGATTCCAAGAAGCTTTTACAAAAACCTTTCCCTCCGAGTGCGGCTCTAAAGCCGATCTCTAAAAAGTTCCGCATGCGCGAGATTCCTAAGTACAACGGAACGACAGACCCAAACGAACATGTCACTTCATACACATGCACCATCAAAGGAAACGACTTGGAGGATGATGAGATCGAGTCTGTCTTGCTGAAGAAATTCGGAGAAACCTTGTCAAAGGGAGCCATGATATGGTATCACAACTTACCCCCTAATTCTATTGACTCATTTGCTATGCTTGCAGACTCTTTTGTGAAAGCACACGCTGGCGCTATCAAGGTCGAAACCAGGAAATCGGACTTCTTCAAAGTAAGGCAAAAGGATAATGAGATGCTCAGAGAGTTCGTATCTCGATTTCAAATGGAATGGATGGACCTGCCACCGGTCGCTTATGACTGGGCCGTTCAAGCTTTTACCCAAGGACTCAATGTTCAAAGTTCGGTGGCTTCACAGCAATTGAAGAAAAATCTAATAGAGTATTCGACTGTCACTTGGGCTAATGTGCATAACCGATATCAATCGAAGATCAGAGTCGAAGATGATCAACTGGGGGCTCCTTCCGGGTCCATTTATCCTATTAGAGACGCTAACAGAGTCGAGAGAGATATTGTTCGTGAACCAAGGTCGAACAGGGATCGATACCAGTCGTACAATGAGGATCGAAGAAGCAATGGGTCCGGACGGAGTTCTATACGAAATGAGAGGAGAAACGACCGAGGCTAGAGCAACCAGGGACTCATAAGCAAGAATGGTTTCGACAGGCCTATCGGACCCAAAGAAGCACCGAGGTTGTCAGAACATAACTTTAACGTAGATGTTGCTTCTATAGTATCGACTATCGGACGCATCAAAGATACCAAATGGCCTCGACCTCTGCAATCCGACCCAGCCCAAAGGGACCCGAACCAAATGTACAAGTATCATGGCACTCATGGCCATAGAACAGAAAATTGCCGACAATTGAGGGAGGAGGTAGCCCGGTTATTCAACAAGGGGCATCTTCGAGAATTATTGAGCGACCGAGCCAAGAATCATTTCAGAAATAGGGACTCCAATAAACAAACCGAGCAAGAAGAACCTCAACACGCCATCCACATAATCATCAGAGGGGTCGATGTCCCTCAAGGTCCGATGTTAAAATGCACCACATTATCCATCACGAGGGAGAAGCGGACTCGAGATTACATACCAGAAGGAACTTTGTCTTTCAGTGACGAGGATGCATACAGTCCCACAATGATGCACTGGTAATATCTATACTCATGAATAAATCTCGGGAAGTCAAATGCCCGAAATGGTTAGCAAACGCAGTAGTTGTCCCTAAAAAGGGAACAAACTGAGAATGTGTGTGGATTATACAGATTTAAATAAGGCATGTCCCAATGACTCTTCCCCTTTTCCTAACATCAATTGCATGATCGATGCCACGGCTGGCCACGAGATCCTCAGTTTTCTCGATGCCTACTCCGGGTACAACCAAATACGAATGAACCCAAATGATCAGGAAAAGACCTCTTTCATCACTAAGTATGGCACATACTGATATAACGTAATGTCATTTGGACTAAAAAATGCCGGTGCCACTTACTAACGTCTAGTAAACCGGATGTTCGAAGAACAAATAGGAAAATCCATGGAAGGTTACATTGACGATATGTGAGTTAAGTCCCTACGAGCATAGGACCATTTAAAGCATTTGCAGGAAACCTTCAGTATATTGAAGAAGTACATCAGGAAGCTGAATCCGGAAAAATGTGCATTCGGAGTCGGATCAGGTAAATTTCTTGGGTTCATGGTATCCAACCGAGGAATCGAGATCAACCCCGACAAGATCAAAGCTATCGAGGATATCACGATAGTGGACAACGTAAAGGCCGTGCAAAGACTAATCGGGCGCATTACCGCCCCGGGGCGATTCATCTCGAGGTCCTCCGATAAGAGCCGCCAATTTTTCTCATTACTGAAGAAGAAAAAAAGCTTCACATGGACCCCGAATGCCAATGGTCCTTGGAAGAACTTAAGTGATATCTATCGAGCCCACCACTTCTTCACACACCGAGGGCAGACGAACAACTATACTTGTATTTGGCAGTATCGAAAATAGTGGTAAGTGGAGTCCTAGTTCGGGAAGAACAAGGTACGGAGTTTCCAATTTATTATGTTAGCAGGACCTTAGGTGAGGTCGAAACTAGATATCCTCACCTAGAAAAATTGGCGCTCGCTTTGCTAAGCACGTGCAGGAAACTGAAACCGTATTTTCAATGCCATCCGTATATGTGTTGTAACAACTTACCCATTACGAAATATAATGCATAAGCCCAAACTGTCGGGACGATTGGCCAAATGGGCCGTTGAAATCATCGGGTACGATATTGAATATTGACCCTGGACAGCCATTAAGTCTCAAATTTTGGCAGATTTCGTGGTCGATTTTACGCCGGCCCTAATACACGAAGTTGAAAGAGAGTTGTTGGTAAACTCGGGGACGTCTTCGGGAATCTGGACCCTCTTTACGGACGGTGCCTCGAACGCAAAGGGGTACGAACTTGGCATCGTACTGAAGCCACCCACAGGCAATATAGTTAGACAATCCATTAGAACTATGAAATTGACTAACAACGAGTCCGAATATGAAGCCATGATTGCAGGTCTCAAACTGGCCAAAAGCTTAGGGGCGGAGGTAATCGAAGCTAAGTATGACTCCCTCCTTATAGTGAACCAAGTTAATGGTGTCACACCTCCTTTTTCACTACACCCCCGTAAGGGTATAAGGGAGTTTTTCCAATTTAAGTGACAATCGAAACAGGATTATTTATTTAAAATTCAGAGTCGCCACTTGGGATAATTAATGGTGTCCCAAGTCACCGGTTTAGAATCCCGAATCGAGGAAGGATTTGACTCTATTTATGTCTGCGAACACAGAAATCCGGGTAAGGAATTCTGTTAACCCGGGAGAAGGTGTTAGGCACTCCCGAGTTCCGTGGTTCTAGCACGGTCGCTTAGATCATACTTGGCTTATTAAATTGTTTAATTACTAATTTTAGAACCTATGCATTTTTCGCTTTTAATTAAAAAAAATTATCTTGAAACGGGTTACGCGTACGTATACCCATTTGTTTGGCGCGTCAAAATCGTGTAACGCGAACGTGTCCACCATTAATAACGCTTTATTATTATTAAGAAATTTTGGCCAAAGTTGCACGAACGCATACTCTGGTTTTATTTTTTAAAAATCGTAATTATGTTACGCGAACGTATACACAATCACAATGGTGTTTTAAACGGTCCTAAAGTCTTTTCTACGAATATTAATCATTTTCAATATCTAGGTTGTGAAATTAATACGAGGGCCATAAACTATTTATTATCTATTATGGCTCGCCTCCATAGTAAAGGGCTTGCTAGCTAAACAACTTAAAGGGCTGGTCTATTCCTAGATGAAACTGAATGTCAAAGTGTGAATTTAAATGGCCCGAGGTTTTCAATTTTGTTTGTCATTTGGGCCAGGCCTGACGTGAGGCCCAACAATTTACCAAACCCAAAGGCTGTGAAGAGTGAATCTCCACAACAACTTTCAATGAGCCCATAGAGGAAGCCCAACATAACAATCACGTGCAACCGGCATAAACGGGTTTCATGCGTCGAACCCAGACTACAGCAGAAGACATCCAAACGTTCTAAAAAAAAACTGTAAACATTGCAGATCAAAAACTTGGTATTGAGTAATTATAAATTAACCTACAATTGCTAGGTGTTAAAGCCATGGTTCGAAATCAACTCGAAACACGTTCCCGGCCACTTCAAGTTAACCATATGCATATGACATTCACTTACACACCAGAGACTAAAAATCATGGGAAACCTTAATTAGAGAATCATAATTCATGTCACCACCTACTTGAATTTATCAACCATACACTAAGTATAACCTCAAACCTAATTTAAATAAAACATTAACTACCTGATGCATACATCCATCATACTTTCGTAAACAACACCAGACCACCATATCTAAACAAGTCACAGAACTCTACTAATACCTCCACACTAACATTTTATCTTTAGCCTCTTTAACATCAATCCAACCATGAATTCATTCCCAAGCATGATTACAGATGCTATTTGGAACTAACAAATTTAAACACATTAGACTTGATTGAGCTTAAGCGCAATATGCCAACAGTCCTCAAGCAAATACAGAACGTAATAATCTAGTTAATTACACAGTGATTCATGTGATAGAGAGCATATGTATCATGAAGAACTATAGATGAGACAAGGGGATCTGTAGTCATGCTTTTCAGCTTTTATTTTATTTTCAAATTGAGAATTACACCTGTAGAATTTAGAAGAGTACCTGGACTTCGAGAACAAAAATAGAAAAAAAAAAAAAGGAGAATCAGCAACAGAGCAGCAGGTAATCAACAGCAGAAGCCAACCAGATTCAACAAAAAAAAACCCAGGAAATCAACTCAAACCCCAATGAAAGATTAACCCTCAACTAGCTTGAATCAAAGCTTTTAACAACCGAACATCAATCCATTTTGAATATCAGAATAGGAATTTTGTTTTTTTTAGAAGTAAAAAATATCACTGAAGCTTTCAATGGAACAGTAGAAATCCTTCCCGTTTTTGTATTCTCTGTATTTTTTGGCTCTTAAAATCTCTTCCCAGTCTGCCTTGCAAGGCAAGAATAAGATGCCTTTATAGGCAAGGCAATAGGTCAACCAAAGAGAGATCAGATTTGCCTAATAGCCCTTTTTGAATTTTTCTTTTTGCCACTTAGTCCTTAGTTAACAATCTGAAACTCATTTTAAGCCCCCCACCCAGCTTCCTAGAAGCTTCTAAATCTGTTATCAAAAAAAATTCCCTCCCCAATTACCTAAATTGCCCCCCAAATGTCCCTTAATTACTCTGCTAGGCCCTCATGTTCACTCTTAGCAATAAACTTGGGTTTGGGCTGCCTAGCCCATAACCACAGCATCCAAATTAGACCACAACCAGCCCAGAACATTCAAACAACTTCAAATCATCAATTAACAACCAACACAGAAGTAATCTGGACTTGAATGATTTTAACAATTAACCCTAAGTCTATGCTATTAACCAATTGAACATCAACGACCCTAAACAAACTAAAACTATTCCAAATAAAAAGAAACGGGAACGAAGTAACAAAAAAATGAGAGAAAAAAAAATAAAAAAACAGAATCGAAAGAAAAGAGAGGGGAGTACCGATTTGACCGGACTTGAATCAACGAATTGAAACAACTCGTCGAACGAGGCAATCAACGAAACTCGACCAGTTAATGGCATCTTGGTCGGAAACTGGTGACTCTCGAACGAACCAAAACTAACATTAACCAATTGTTCTTGGCCAGAATAATTGTTTAATGCAAGTCTTGACTCCAATCGAGGATGAGTATCAAGAAACCAACTCGGGTTGGGGCAACCTAGGGCTTTTCCTCACATTCAGATCTGAAATCGACAAGAGTAGGTGGGGATTTTGTGGGAACTAATGGAAGTTTAATGTTCAGGGGGGGTATGAGGAGTGGATGGTGAGAATTTGGTGAGGTTTTGGATCTTTGCCGCCTGTGGCAATGGTGGGTGAAGGCTTTAGAGGAGGGGGAGATGAAGACGATAAGAGAGACGGGAGATTGAATTGGTTCTATCTCTGAAGGGGAATTTGGACAGTCTTATGAGAAATGGGGGAAAGTGTGAGAGCCATTGGATGAGCTAGATTGAAGGGCTCAGATCTATTTTAGATTTGGAACTCCAAACGACGCCGTTTGGGAGATTGACTCCTGGACCGGATTTAACAGGTCTTTGGGCCAGGTTTGATCGGGTTTCTGGAGGAAAAACGACTTGGGCTGGGCAAAATTGAAAGATTGGCCCAGATCTGATGCAAAGCTATTTCCCTCTCTTTTCATTTTTCTAATTCCTTTTGTTTTCTTTTTTTTTCTTTTTTCTTT